AATAAAACACTGCGGTGAAACCTCGCTGCCCCATCGTGTTCCTACAGCAGCACTACGGCTGGATGCAGGCAGCCTCTGTGCTGTGAGCAGGGCTGCGTCCCAACACTGGGCATGGAGGAGTGCCTGGGAGCAGGGGGGGCAGCCTGGGCTCAGCAGGGTGAGCTCAGGTCAGTTGACAGCTCTGTATACAACAGAAACCTGCAGCCGTGGGCTGTGATGCTGCGTTCCTGCTGCGGGGAGCTGCAGCAGCAGCTGGTGGTTGACAGCAGGGGGTTGGAACTTGGTGATCCTTCAGGGTCCATTCCTAACCAAGCCTTTCTGTGATAGAGCTGACTGCAGTCTGCTGGGAGGCTCGGAGCTCTCAGGTGATGGGGAGAGCAGGTTATGCTGGGGGAGTTGGGAGCCCTGCAAAGAATAAATTGCAGGAAGGGTTCATGGAACTGCCTCAGCCTGGAGCTGATGCTGCTCTGCTTGCACGTGAGCTGTGCTTAACGCTTTCCTCTGCTTGTTTCTTTCCTTCAGTAAACAGCTGTTCTTTCTCAGGACGTCCTTCAGAAAACATCATTTCTTCCTCCTCCCCGTGAATCTGTTCTATGGGGGCTGCTGTTAAGCTGCACCCCTGGTTGGCGGCTGGGTGCTTTGTGATGCTCGACTCAAGCACAGAGGGGTTTTCAAGCTGGCTTTAATCATCTTCACTTGCTGCCCCATACTGTACATGCAGGTACAAGCCAATGAAAATGTGAGTACGTCAGTTTGTTCCTCCTGGGGAAAACTGGCTTAGGAGTATCTTACAAAATAGCGTGCACCCTCACAGCCATCAGTCCTGCTGCGTATAAACCACAAAAATACAAGAGTTTTACATTAAGAAAGACCACGCACATATAAAACATTACAGAACACAAGTAAAAAAATCGCCATTTGCTTTTTTTTTGTTGTTTTTTTTTTGTTGTTTTTTTAAATCTCATCACCATTCTCAAGGATCCATCGAAGCCCATCCTCCCCTCGTCTTGAATGCGGACCTGGGGCGCAGCGCAGCCCCTGCCCACCCCTCTGCACCACTGTTTGAAGGTGGTGGTGTTGAACTTAGGAATCTGTCATCAAAGCAAAGTCTATGAGTGCATTGGTGAAGGCAGGCAGGTTTGCTCCGTGCTGTGCTGGCAGAGGAGCTCCATCAGGTGTGGGATGCACACAGCAGACGCGAGGTTCGCTCCTGGTTCGCTCCTGGGGGAGATGTGTGCGGTGGGGACGGAAAGCAAAGCCAGCAGCAATTGGTGGCTCATGGAGTTCTGACAGCTTCCAAATTCTCCTCGATGCAGTTTGCTGGGTGCTGGGGAAGCAGCGGTGTGAAGCAGCACGGTTTGCAGGCCGTGTCCCAGTGCTGGAGCTGCGCTGTGCTGCTGGGAGCAGCGGGGTGGGGAGGGCTGTGGGTGCTCCTCCTGCCCGGGTGTCCTCTGCAGCACACACTGCCCTCTGCTCTGCTCCTCCGGGGGGCAACGAAGTTCAAAAGGCATTGGTTGGGTGTAAAGAGGTTCAAGGTAAAATTCTTCCTATCTTGAAGTTTGGGAGTCTGAATTCGGAGCTTTTTGGCAGGTGAGCACTTCAGGCTCTGTGCTCCAAGTGCTGCTGTTCTCCTGTTGCTGTATTTCAGGACGAACCTCAGTCTGGCCACGAGCTGCTGCTCCCCTTACGGCTGTTTCTCAGCCAGACGGGTCTGGTGTCGTACCAAAGGTATAAACTGCTGAAATTAATGACAGATCCTGCAGCCCTGGCAGGGCTTCGTCCAGCCAAGCTGCTCGTTGATTGGGTTTGGAGGTGGGGAGGAGAACAGTGCGATGGGGAAGGTGAGTTCGATTGAACTGCACGGAAAGATCGAGCCCTTTTCAGAAAACAAGGCCACCAACTTCAAAGTGCGAACAAACATTCACGGGGCCCAGGCTGCAGGAGGGAACTGTGGGGTTCTGTGGGGTCCCCCCACACCGCAGCTCCGCAGCCATCCCTGTGCAGCACGTGAAGCCTCAGCGAGTGGGGACGGTGCAATGTGCACATCCTCAGCTTCCTACAGCTTCCTTGCCTGCCCTTCTGAGGGCTGCGTCACCCCCGGGTTGGGTTGTGGGGCAGCACTGGGGTGCAGGAGCAGAACAGACTCTGCTGCCCCGTGTGCCATCCCGTCACTTTGCTCCTTGGCCATCGGAGTGGCACGGAGCAGGGGAAGCACACACACACACACACACACACACCCCTTCCCCAGAATTGCTCTTCATTGCACAATTACAACAAAAAATAACCTGAATGCGGCAGAGTGCACGAAGGTCTGGGTCTTAAAAGAGAGGGGAAAATAGGAAAGGGAAGAGGGGGGGAAAAAAAAAAAAGAATGAGGTATCCCAATCACCAGAGCTGCGTCCTGACCCCACTCCTGGGCAGCTGCTGCCCGGGTGGCTCCAGGTGCTGCTGTGCTCAGCCTCGGCTCAGGGTTGGCTGTAACAGTGCGGCGGTTCCTCGGACAGCAGGACAACCTCGTGCCCTTTGCTGCACGTTTTTCTCAAGTCTGCATTTGAAACCGAAATCTTCACAGCATGAGGGTCAGCACAGGGGGCTGGGATGCAGCACTGCCACTCCTGCTGACGCTGCTCTGCGTCCCGCTGCGTTCCCACCTGCTGCTGCTGCACATGGCTCTCCTGCAGGACATCGTGTCTATAGGATTCCAACCTTCCTACCAGATCCCAGTGCCTTTCCACCACCTGGCCCAGGCACTCCCTGTGTGCATCGACGTGGTAGAGGAGGAGGACTTCCCATTGAAACAGCTGCGTCGAGGGCCGTCATTGCATCGCGGGATGCGAATTGGCTCTGAATGAAGGTCCTCTCAGAACTCTGTCTGGAGGCACGGCAGCCTGGAGGCCAGCAGGGCGAGCAGCTCAGAGCTGTACCCATCTCTGATGCAAAGCACAGCGAGACTGTGGATGCAGCCATGAGGAACGGCGCCTGGCCACTGCTGCCTGGCCTTCAGAACGCAGTTGTTTTCCAGCAGATGCACTCCCTTAGGGAACTCTGTTCCCCTCAATGCAGGGAGAAGCACCTGAGTCAACTGGCAAGGAAGGGAAGGTGCTCAGGAGCGCACTGCCAGCACTGCTGCTGCACATGGAGCTGATGTGCTGAGCTGCTCGCTCCTCGTGCTGCCCCAGGCCTCCAAGGCTGGTTTGGTAACATCCATCCTCGTTGCTTAATGGCGGGCCCTGGCTCCTGCCCCTCCATGAGCTGTGCTGCAGTGAGATCCTCTGTGTCCCAGGTGGGTGCTGGGAGCACCAGGCAGGAAACAGAGCACTGAGCCTCTTCTGTTTGATGCTCATTTCTTTTCCAGAGGAACATATCTGGGAAGAAGAAGGGTCCGGATCTCCTTTCCTGGGGGAAGGAAGATGCAGTGACCTCACAGGGTCCGACCAGCCATCCTCTGCTCCTTGCAGCATGCAAGGAATGCCCTCTGCAATGAGCATTCCCCAACAAGCAGCTGGAGCTCAGAGTGCAGGGCCACTGCAAGCAGTGTGCTGGGTGCTGGGTTCTGGGTGCTGCATGGGGCTGGGCGCAGGGCTGGCACAGGGCTCACACGGTTGGAGATGAACAGTGTGGACGCGGTGATGTGAGCACAGCTTGGCTGCAGGAATCGCTCCCACACCCGCAGTGTTGCAGCAAGGGAGGGGGTGCTGCTGGGGAGCAGTTTGCTCTCCTCCTGCCTACACCACGATCCCATTATAGCAGTAAGAAGTAAGCCAGGGCTGCCGGGTTCCCATGCTCCTGGTGCTGGGCTCTCCAGGTGGAGCAGAACGCAGGGGCTCCACAGTGCTGCGTGCCCAGGGCAAAGCGCAACGCTGAGCCATCGCCGCCCCACTGCTGACAGAGCTCCTCTTCTCTTTTTTTCCCATTGGAGTCGAGTTGGTAAAGCAAATCACATTAAACTGAGGGTCTGTTCTGCGCCCTCTGCTCTGCCTGCGCCAGCAGCTGCTGTGTGCCAGGACCTGGAAGGCAGAGCCGTGGGGGCGGTGAGGATCCCCCATTCCTCTCTTGGTGTCGTGGTTTGGTTTTTCTCTCTTTTTTTTTTATATCTTTTTCTCTTTTTTTTTTCTCTCTCTCTGTTGGACACTGATCCTTCGGGACAGTCCTCGTGTTCAGTGTATTCCGCGAAGAAAGCAGAGTTGCTAGTGGTGTCTCCCCTGAGTATTGTCAGCAAATTTCATTTAGGCACCTTCAAAAACAAAACAAAACAAAACAAAACAAAACAAAACAAAGAAAGCTTCCGCCATTCTCGGTGTTGCTACAAGAACCGATCCCTGGGGGGGAGGGAAGAGGGGGGGAGAGGGGGCACCGGAATGCTGCTTGAAAAACAAACAACCTGAACACACAAACAGGAAACAAACAAACACCCAAACGCTCATCGTCACCACCGAGCGCTGCGTCCTTCGCTCGGCTCCTCTCCATCACCCCGCTTCCAGCGCAGCGGGAGCTGCTGTTGAGATGTTCCCCCCCCCCCGGATGGAGGGGAGGTGGGGGCACCGTGGTGCGCTGTCACTTTGGCAATGTCACAGGCAAAACGCTACAGAAAGAAAGGAAAAAGGGCACCGGTGCTGCGGGGTCGGCGTGGGGAAACCAACGGGTTGCGCCCGCTCTGCCCCGGAGCCTGTCGGGTATTGCAGTGATTGTGTCGTTAGCACGTGGCAAGCTACATAAGAGAAGATGCTACATTCCTTGGAACGAAAAGTAGTGCTGAGTTGGATTCTTCTGCTGAGTCTCTTTTTGCTCCCTGTTCCTCCCAGGGCAAGGAGCGAGATGGAAGGAAGGGAACGGCGTCTTCGTGCTCCCAGCATGGGAGGGAGTGCACAGGAGCAGGGTGTGTTGGGAAGGAGATCTTTAAAATTAAAAAAAAAAAA